ATAATCCTCCATGACTTTCAAAATTACAGAAAACCCTTCAAGGTTAGGGATTATCAAAAACCTCATTTAATTTTTAGATTCTATTAGAAAATCCTTCTATTTGTGTTAATCACAATTTCCACATGAATGTGAAAGATTATACAAGAGGATATTTTTGCTAGTAAAAATTGGGGTTCACACATGTAATGGGGTTTTCTGAAAAATTTTAAAGTTAAAAGCGGTTTTGTGATAACCACCGAACTTAAGGGGGTTTTAGATACTTTGAAAGTTGTGATAGATTATGTGATAGTCGTCCAAAGTTAAGGAGAGTACTGATGATTTGAAAGCGCTTCGCGTTCTGATTTGACCTATAGTCTGTAATACCCTACCCATTCTGCCCTTGGGCCTCACGTCACATAGAAAAGGTTCTTGGGCGAAATATTGGGAAGCAGTCCCATAATTTTATGATGTTGTTATGGAGAAATTCTCAAAATAGACTTATTTTCAATTTTATTCCTAATTTTTTATATAATTTAAACTTATTTACAGAGATCAACTTAGTTTGGACCATGTCAGTAGCGCGGCTAGAAATTAGGTCGATTTAAAAAAAAATGCATCTTTCTAACTAATCAGGATTGGTAATCCCAATTAATTAGAAGCCACCTCTAATTAGTCGGTTTCGATAAATCTGACTAACTTAAGTTACCTCCTAACTAGTTGGGGTTACCAACCTCGACTAATTATAAAGCAGTTCAAATTAGTTGGATTTGGCGAGCACGACTAGATTTGAACCGATCCAAAATATTTGGCAAACTTTGGTCTCTTCATACTCACAAATTTTGGCTCAGTGTGTATAATGATGGACGTTGCCAACCCCGTCAATATTATAACACTCATTCTTTCCACTTTGACAATTTCTCTGTTACATCACATCCAGATCAAATCAAATTTCAATCATAAACATTATAAAATAATTCATACAACCACACATAATAAAACTAACCACTCATAAAATCACATAGAGAAAACAAAGCATTAAAATTCATCATGTCTGCTTTAAACATATATCTGTTGGTTATGTTGTTCATGAAAAGATAATTTTGCTTTTGTGAATAGTCCCACATGGAATAGTGATGAGAATAGTAAGAGGTTTATATTGGAACACCTCTTATTGAGCTTTGAATAGTGTTTTGGATTTTGTGGGCTTTGCATAACACACGCACGCGCACGCATGCCGCACCGTACATATTTTTTGGATTGCAAATCTTTAATATTACCGTTTTATCTTTTGACTATGTCTTGTATACGTGCATAACGTCTGCGGAGATAATGCGGGGAGTTTGTGGAGAATAAGAGAGATGTGCAACGGATCTGAAGGCTTTCCACTCCTATAAATAGAGCCTTTCTCCAGTTCGGAAGACACAGAAAACTCTTCTATCCTCTCTTCCTCTATTAATATTTTCGTAAAAGTTTTAGTTTTTCTCTTTGGTCAACGTTCTTCATCTGAGCAGAAGCTCCCGATCAGGCTGCGCCAGGGTGATAGGCGGGTCCTCAATCTTCCAGGGCAGTAAAATCACGGCTGCTCCCAATCAGGCCTGAATTTCTAACTTTTTATTATAGATTTTATACTAATATTCTCTTTTTGACAGTAATCTAGAAGATTGAGAATTATTATTGCTGTTAATTTAAATCTAAAATAACTTGATCTAAAATTAAAAATTTTTTGTTCCTTAATTTTATTAATTTAAAAAAAAAACACTGTTCATCGGATTCTTTACTGTTCATCCAAGAAAAAAATCCTCTGTTTTTGTTCATTAAAAATAAATAAATAAAAAATTATTTTATTGCAAATTGCTTTACTTTCTTGTTGTTTATTTGTTAACTAATGATTTAATTTAGTTGCTATTAAAAAAAGGATTATTTACTGTTCATAGAGGGTTACTGTTCACTCAGGGGAAATTTACTGTTTGTTAAAATATTTTATTACTGTTTATCTAATCTAATTGCTTTCATTATTTATTGGTTTATCTAGTAATTAATAGTAGTATTAATTAGCTGTTGTTTTTTTAAAAAAGTTACTATTCACGAGGGAAAATATTTTACTATTCACAGTAAAAGAAATATATAATATTGCTCTAATTATTTGTTAATTACTATTGTTGGTTTGTTGCCTTTTAACTAGAAATTAATTAAAAATTATTTACTGTCTAATTTGTTTACTGCATTAGAATTTTAATATTCTTTTCAATTATTAATCAAAGTCATACTCCTTAGCATCTAGTAGTATTGACAAAAACATTTATTCCATCAGATTCCAAATACCTAGACTAATAAACTCAAATTGGACTTATGGCTAACTCTGATCATTCCAAGAGTGTCAAACCTGAGAAGTTTACTAGTGTTAACTATAAATGGTGGGCTAATCAGATGAGATACTGGCTCACCACCTTAGGTCTTCTATCTGCCATAGAAACTCCTGAGTCTTTATCCAGTGGATCTCAACCCTCCAACTCTCCTGTTTATGGTCCTCAACCTGAACCCTCACCTTCCACTTCTGGTTCTGGTGCTAGCTCATTTTCTAGCTCTATAAAATCAGAAGAAATCAACAATCATTGTTGTCATAGGATTCTTAGTGCACTTGCAGACAACCTCTATGACATATATTATGAGTTCAAAAGTGCTAAAGACCTATGGAATGCTCTTGACGTAGAATATTGCTATGATGATGTCAGAATTCTGCGTTTCACTTCCTCCTCCTTCAATAGGTTCATGATGGTTGATGACAAACTCATTAATGAACAAATTCATGAATTCTAAGATTTTCTCTATCACCTCCAATCAAAAGGAAACACTTTTATTGATGATTATAAAGTTTCATGTTTGATTGATAAACTCCCTTCCTTCTGGTCTAGATTTGTTGGAGATCTCTGACACAAGTGAGGAGATTTAACCTTAACTGAAGCCCTCAAGGCTATTCGTATTGAAGACCAGCATAGGAAAAATTCCAAAACCAAGACCGAATCAAAAGCTAAAGTGAACTTGGTAGAGGATAAGCCTCAATCTTGGAATTTCAAACCCAAAGGGAAGAAATTCAAGAAAAACTAGTAATCCTTCAACAAATGTTCTTCCAAATCCAATTCCAACTCTTTCAGCCATAAGTCTGATGGAAAGTTCTACTATGTCTATGGTAGAACTAACCACCTGGCTCCCAACTATTTCTTTAGTAAGAAGGAACCGGCCAAACTTGCTCCTAAAGGAAATGAATCCAACAAAATTAATATGATTGAAGAGAATCCAACTTCCTTCAGGTTAGCCTCTTCATCTTATCTTATTAATTCCCTTACTTCTTCCACTGACTGGTACTTGGATTCAAGAGCTAATATTCATGTTTGTAATGATCGCTCTTGGTTTTTAACTTATCAGGAATCATGTAGAGGAAGCATAAGCTTAGCAGATGACTCCACCAAACAAATAATGGGAAGTGGATGTATATTGCTCACCATGACCTCTGGGAAAGCTCTGAATCTGCAAGGCATTCATCATGTTCCTTCTCTCCATCGTAACTTGATCAGTGAATCTCTTCCTCTTAGAGCTGGCATTAGGATTGTAAAGGAATCAAATAAATTTGTGATTACCAAGAATAATGTATTCATTGGAAAAATGTTTTATCTGTAATGGTCTTTTCAAACTCAATGTAATCAATTCGAATTCTAATGAAATTCTTGAGTCTTCTGCTGCACAAATTGTTAAGTCTTGTAATGTTTGGCATGGACGACTTGGACATATCAATTTTCAAACATTGCAGAGAATGATTAAATTGAACCTTATTCCCAAATTTTCTCATGATCCCTCATCTAAATGTGAGATTTGTGTTTAAGGGAAACACACCAAAAACCCTTCAAGTCTATAACTAGAAACTCCGAACCTCTTGAATTAATTCATAGTGATGTGTGTAACTCGAACCGAGTTCTCACTCGAGGGGGTAGGAGATATTTTATAACATTTATAGACGATCACTCCAGATATTATTACACCTATCTTCTCAGAACTAAAGATGAAGTCTTAGATAGGTTTAAGGTGTACAAAGTTAAATCTGAGAACCAACTTGACAGGAAGATTAAAATTCTAAGATCTTATCATGGGGGAGTATACCTCAAATAATATGACTGAATATTGTTAAGAACACGATATTATTTATGAGGTTACTGCTCCCTATACACCACAGTCTAACGGGGTAGCTGAACGAAAGAACAGAACCCTAATGGACATGGTAAACTATATGTTACTCAGTTTAGGAGCACCTAAAAATCTATGGGGTGAAGCTCTTCTTTCTGCTTGCTTCATTCTCAATAGGATTCCCACAAAACTTCTGATATAACTCCTTATGAATATTGGAAGGGAAGATCTCCTAGTCTAAACTTCTTCCGGGTTTGGGGTTGCTTGGCTAAGGTAGCTATTCCCCGAACCTAAGAAGAGGAAAATTGGTTCCAAGACTGTTGATGTTGCTTTTATTGGATATGCACTAGATAGCAATGTTAATAGATTTCTAGTTATTAACTCTAAAATCAGTAACATATCTAACAACACAATCATTGAAGCAAGAGATGCAGTCTACTTCGAAAATATATTTTCTTTCAAATCCAAAATCTCAAAAAATCTTAGATCATCTCTTCATTCTGATCTACCATCTTCCAGTTCTTCTCAACCTTTTGATATTGAGCCTCGAAGAAGTAAAAGATGTAGAATTCAAAAAGATTTTGGAGAAGAATTTTTTACCTTTCTTGTTAAAGGTGATCCAAGCTCATTCAAAGAAGCAATGAATTCACCTGAATCTCCTTTCTGGAAAGAAGTCATTAATAATGAGATTAAATCTATCATGGAAAATCATACTTGGATACTCAC